ACTATTTTGCACGTTATAAAGAGCTGTTTTTATGATGAATGGGGATTATATTGGCACTTTAATTGAGTTAGAAACCAAGGTACATGAATGTTAGTGCATGGGAAATGCAATAAAAAAAAAAAGCTGTTCAATGTGATTGGAATATATCAGATTAATTTAATACCACCTTAAGTACTTAATGTCCATTCCTTTAAATATGTTTAATTAAATTGTTGGATTAAATATTTATATGCATATATGTGTGCACACATTTTTTCCCCTCAAAAAATCTCTTCCTTTTACTTTCCTATCACATTCCAAACACATGTCGTATGTGATAAATTCAGATTTCAGGGCTGTCAAATCAAAATTCTTTGCTGTAGGAATGAAACAAATATGGTATATGGTAATCTAGATAATCTAGGTAATCTATGATAATCTATGAAGTTAGCATATATTTGGATAAAATTATGTAAACTTCTAAAAAACTTCTCACAGTAAGGATTTTGACTGAAATATTGGTTCTATTGCAGCCATATTTAGGTATTTACTTGATTTGTTTCTCTCTAGTTCAAATTTATCCACCAGTTAAAAAAAAACTTAATTCACATGCCTTTAGAATTAGTACTTGTATTTGCTTGATTTAGTATTCAGCAAATTAAAGAGAGTTTTTTAATTTAAGGCTTAAGTCTCCATCTTAGAGAATGAATATGGTATTTAAATTATTTAGTCAAATTGGAGGCCTTGAGACTACTCAAAGGTCTATAGGCCTTCTGAAAAGGAGATGTCTTATATTTCACCCCTTTCTGTTTCAATTGGAAAGAATTTGTCAGCATAAGAGTTAATGCATGAAATGTGGATTTTAAAAACATAATTGAGGTGAATGTTTTGAGGAATTAATTTGCCCGCTTCGTGCTGTGGACCAGCCCTCTGCAATATTAGCCTCACAGAGTGTGCGCTAAATAGTCCCCATCAATTACACTTGGCTGTGAATGAATCCGAGGGTTCCTTTTGTTATAAATTATTATTTCCTAAAATGCTTCTGCAGAGAGGCAATGAAACACTTTTAGATTTGGAATGCTGGGAGTCGTTCTTGCCAGTGGTTGATTTTGAGCCAGCTCAGATGTTTATAAGAACTCATAAAACCAGGCGAAGTTGAGGATGGCCCATTTGCTGTAATTCCATGTTCCTCCCCCTGAAATTCCTCTGATTCTTGAACGGTGCTGCTCCAGCCATGGCCAACTCACCCTATACTGCAGTGTGATGGCTGCTTGGCCATTGCGCTGAAGACGAACGAGGATTTGATCTTTTGCATAAAGTCTTTTTTGCATACGGTCTCTTGGTACTGCTAGCATCTCACTCCCATCATAAGCATGTGACATCAATGTGAAAACTACAACTAAATTTTTGCAGCTGTAGGCAAAAGGCAGGGCCAGTAGGACAGACAATGTACATACCTACAGCTTGAGCTAAGGGAGGGCTCTGAACAATTTCCAGGTGCACTGCGTGAATTTACAGAAGCGTCCTTTTGTTACAGTGAGTTATCAGGCACAGAGAACTGTTCATTACTTTGGCGAGAGGACTCAGGTTATCAGCCAGTACTCCTCTCAGTTCTCCGGGTCTTTCAAGAAGACCCAGGGAGGGGTCATTGAAAGATGACCCTGTGAAAGTTAAGATATTTTTGCCTGATCTCACTGAGGGCTGCCGCGGTTCAGTCAATCAGAATTCTGAAGGCCGCCTTGGGATTCTTTGACTTTCCTCTCCTTCTTACTTTCATTCATGATCTCACCCTGCCTTTGCTTTGCTATTTGAAAATAACCTCTCTGGAGGTTTTGCCAGACACCTGTAGAAATCCGACCATCACTTAAACTACTGTTGTGTTGTTACTGCTGACTTTTTTAAATGAATTTTCTTCTGCAAGTAGACAGCAAGCCACTGCCGGTCAGTTCTGATCCCCACCGCATACTTGATTCAGCAGTTCCCAGCAGCCATCGTGATAAGGGGCCCATCTTCATGTAAATAAAGCACAATAGTTTATATTTCTACTAGCTTTCAGAGGGGCTCTCAGTTTTGATCTTGACTTTCAGACGGGCCTTTCTGAGTTGAGGGAGGGGTCACTGGATAGGAGAGAAGATCCCCCCGGTGGAGAAAACCAGAGGTAGATAATCTCAAAATGACTGTTGCAGCCAAGCTCACGTCTTTTCGAATGCAGGGATTTCTAGCAAAACTGAGTTCCATTGATGTTGGTTAGAAAGAGGGGCTTCCCTGGTGGCTCAGATTATAAAGACTCCACTGCCAGTACAGGAGACTGGGGTTTGATCCCTGGGTCAGGAAGGTCCCCTGGAGAAGAGAATAGCAACCTGCTCTAGTATTCTAGCCTGGAGAATCCCATGGACAGAGGAGCCTGGTGGGCTACAGTTCATGGTGTCGCAAAGAGTCAGACATGACTGAGCGACTAACATGTTCACTTCTTGTGCTGTTAGAAAGAAATCTGAGTTGAACCCATTTGGAGGTTAATTCAGAAAAGCAAAGCAGGATGAGACAGTATCATGGGGACTGCAGAGATTAAGCTGAGTTAATTAGTTCAAACTGGCCTTTGAGGCTGGGGTTGGGTAGGGGGGTAGTCTTGGAAGCAATTGACCCTGGATGGTCCTGGGCAGCTGACGCACCAAAAGCTGTGGTCCAAGGGAGCCCTTTGTCAAGCAGTGGGTGAGGGGAGAAGTGCAGGTATGTGATAAGGCTGCACTTACTGGTTTCATCATGCCTGAAAAGAGGAGAACTGGGCTAACTTAGACGTGTTCTAGAATCAGTCGGATGCCTACAGTTCCTTGACCACAACTCCTTCTTTTGTTTTCTTGCTTTATTTTTGAACACCTAAATGCCCCAGTCTGTAGATCCTTGATTATTTAGCAAGGAACTTTTCAACACAAGCAGAACTTTCAAGAATTGGGATTGATGTTCAGAGACTCAGCCTGAGAGAAGCTGTTAGTTTCAGCCTGGTGCTGGGAGTGAATGAAGTGGGGATTCTTGCAGGAGCGATAAATCTACCACCAGATGTCTCTGCAGGCCACTCCACAGGCGTGCTCACTGGAGCTGGGGCCGCGGAGGCGGGAACCCGAGCTTCCCATGGACCTCACGGTGCATCCCCCGACCTAATGCCTGAAGCAGAAACTGAGGAGGGTGTGTGTGCGCACACGCGTGTATGTCTCCTGTCTTGAGCTGCCTCTGCCTCTGTTTCCCGCATTCCTTGGTTATTTATTTCCCTGTGCGGATGCCTACTGAAACTAGGAGAGGAGTTGTGGGGTGCTCCCTGCAGGAGATGCTCCCTGCAGGAGATGAAACAGCAGCAGGTGCAGCCAGAGAGGGCAGTGGTGTCTTTTCCTAAGGGGCCCTTTGGTGTGGGCACCACGCCAGGGACCAGGAAGGAATGCCACCAGACCCCAGCCACTCAGCAAAGGCTTGGGGCTGCCCTGGAGCCCTGAGAACAGTGATTGGCTTTCCTGTTTCTATAAATCAGGTTTAGAAGCTTTAAAACATTTCAGTGGAGGACCAACGAGCAAGTTAACTAGGCCAGTTAAAAATATACCTGGGGAGAAAGAGAATTGATGGTGAACATGGTGTGTACTTAATCGTGGGACTAGGAGATGATGGAAAGACTCCACCAGTTTCAGCACAAAGATTGTTCGGGGAAAGAAAACCAGCCAGGTTAGCGTGGGTAAACTTGGCATCTACTCCTGTCGGGCTGATCCATCCTGGCTTCAGTGATTTAAGGCATAACTGCCGTTCCGTGGGGACTTCCCTGATGCTCAGCAGTGAAGAATCTGCCTGTGGTGCGGGAGCCGAGGAGACACTGGATTCGATCCCTGGGTTGGGAAGATCCCCTGGAGGAGGGCATGGCAGCCCACTCCAGTGTTCTTGCCTGGAGAATCCCATGGACAGAGGAGCCTGGCGGGCTACAGTCCATAGGGTTGCAAAGAGTCGGACATGACTGAAGTGACTTAGCGGGCACACCCGCCCTTCCACGTGTATCTTGGTACAACTGCCAAGTAGCCTGACATAGAAAATCTCCACGTGGCGCTGCTGTCAGCTGTCTTCCTGCCGTAGCAGAGGGCTGAGTGTGGCACATCCTGCAGGGTCATGGATGAGCCCACATGTGTGCCATTTCTGAAGGACAGGATGACTCTTCATGGGAGGCTTTGCTCATCTGCATCTCTGTGTTTTTTTGGTCAAGTTGTCCGGCAATGACCTTAACAGATTTAGGAACGTTTTCTAAATAAAACCCTGAGCTGCAAAAATAAGAATCAGTCACTGGATGAGTTGGTATCTGAAGAAAACAAGGGAACATTGAGTAGACAAAAGCCGGCAAGAGAATGTGATTCAGCGTGATTCATGCACTTCATCACGTAATCATCAATGATGCAAGGCTATTGTCAACAGGAACATTGTCTTCTTCATGTAGAGTGGAAGTTGGGATACAGAGAATCATAAAATGCAGTCCTGATCTTATTCCAAAAAGAGATGGCACCTTAAAGAATCCTCTTAGATTCTCTCCTCCCCCCTGCAAACATCACACATACTCACAGTATCTTTTTTTAAAACAGCCAGCTGAGGGTAGATTTTATGAAAGCAAGAGGCAGAATCTTGACATCTTGGAGACCCAAGGGCTTGTGGGTTCTGACAGTAGGGCATGATGCAAATCTGACTCTTGCTTTTTAAATTTATTTTATTGAAGTTTAGTTGATTTGCAGTGTTGTGTTCATTTCTGCTATAGAGCAAAGTGAGTCAGTTAGACATGTATACATTCTTTTCCATATTCTTTTCCAAGATGGTTTGTCACAGGATATTGAAGATAATTCCCGGTGCGATACAGTAGGACCTTGAGGTTTATTCATTCTCTGGGTAATAGTTTGCATCTGCTAATTCCAAGCGCCCAGTCCACCCCTCCCTACCCCGTCCCCCTTGGCAAGCACAAGTCTAGATGCTCTTGGTCCCTGAGTCTGTATGTGATTCTTTCTTCACAGCTCACAGACGGGGGAGCAGAGAGGGTGGAGGTGACCCAGGAAGACCTGCAGTCCCCTCAGCAGAGGAACTCTTCAGAGGCCCCCAGGGAAAGGCTCTACTCCCTGAGGATCCAAAACACTACGAGCTGCAACTCGGGGACCTACAGGTGCACTCTGGTGGGTCCGGAAGGGCAGAGAAACCTGAGTGGCACCGTGACCCTCAGAGTGACAGGTGAGGTGGTCTGCAGCACCTGTTTTTTTCCTACAGCGTGCAGGACACTTTGTGTAAGTCCTGACCTCGATCCGCTCAATCCGACTTTAATTCAGAAGCTGTGGATCACATCTGCGTCTGAAAGCTAAATTCTGCTGCAGGGGTAGCATAACTTTCTCTGCCTTCTTTTTGCTTTTCCTTTTTTTTTTTTTAAGGAATCTACCCCAGTTTAATTGGGATAGATGCCAAATGGAGTCAAGCAACTAAATCTAGCTGTTGTTTATCCATATAAGAGTCCTTTGGAGCCAATAGGAAGTTTCCAAGTCTAGTTTTTGGAAGACAGAGAAACTGGGTAGTCTTGAATTGATCAGATAGCTGTGCAATATTCTGCTCACTGGGGGCTCTCTAATCTGGCTTAAGAGAGCTGCTACATGTTTCCACCTTTTTCAACATGAAAACAGAATTTCTTTCCCACTTAACAGCGACTGAATGTCCCAATACCTCAACGCAGACCAAAGAAAGAGAGTCCAGCAAGAAAAGAGGCTTCCCAAGTAGAAGTCACATTTTTACTCTGTGCAGTAAGACCAGGACTCGAGTGTCAAGACAGGGATTATCTCCTTGGACTTTTTTCCATAACTTTTCTTGATATAGCTTAAAATATGCCTTGTATCTGACTTTAGCCCAACTCTTGTTAGCGGCTTGAAATGACAAACATGTTGTTACAGAGACCCTGACCTTGTGTAGCAGCTATTGTCTCCTTCCACGGAGGAGCTTAAAGGAATCTGACTCAAGATCGTATTCCCACACTCATGAGAAGGCAAGCACTGGTTAGGGGCCAATGTTTGGATTTTTTTAAAAGTTTTCTTTTCTTGGCGTGGTCCATTTTCAAAGTCTTTATTGAATGTGTCACAGTACTGTTTCTGTTTTATTTTTTGGTTGTTTGGCCACAAGGCATGTGGGATCTCAGCTCCCCAATCAGGGATGGAACCATCATCCCCTGCATTGGAAGGCGAAGTCTTAAACACTGGACCACCAGGGAAGTGCCTCAGTATTTGGACTTGGTTCACTATCTCACACAAACACACACGCGCGATATGCTTCTCAACCTCCAGCCCTATACTCTACTGCGTTTGAGTTCATGGCACTTACCATGCCTGCCCTGATACGGTCTCTGCTTTCTTCCCTGCTGCCTCCTGGTGCAGTCAGCCCTGAGTATCATTCCCGTGAATGAGAACTGGAGCGACCCGGCAGGAAGAGCAGAGAGGGCGGGTGTGTCCTGCGGGGAGTGGGGAGCAAACGAACAGAGAACAGCTGACTTGCTTTCCTGTCCTCTGCAAAGGCGGTGCTGTCGCCAATTTAAGGGGTCAGACTAGAGCCACTTGGATCTGGTTCAAATATGAGCTCAGATGCTCATAAGCGTGTGATCTTGGGCAAACCTCTGATTGAGTCTAAGCCTTGCTTTTCTCATCTTCAAAATGGGGATGCTTGGTTTTTCACCTTGGTAGAAGAGTCCGTTCAGTGGCTTCATATATTACTTATTTCTTTTTGCAGGATGCTCTAAGGGACACAGAGGGGAGACTTTTAAGAACTACAGAGCTGAGATTGTCCTGCTGTTGGCTCTGGTCATTTTCTATGTAACACTCATCATTTTCACTTGTGTAAGTATCTTTCGCAAACATCTCTCATTAAAAGATCACCTGCGGAGGGCAACCGTGGGGCGGGCAAAAAAAAAAAAAAAGATCACCTGGGGCACCAATCTGAACGCGTTTTGTAGATGGTGCGAATCATTTAATAACAGCAAGGGAAGAAGTTCTGTTCTCAGAACTCTGGCCTTACTGAGGTCCCCAGACTATGAGACTCTCTGAGAGACTCCCAGCTTGTTCTCCATGTGGTGGTTATGCATAGAGCCGTTTGAGGAGAAAGTGAATCAGGAGGTGAAGGAAGTTTGTGAAAGGATCCTCTTAGGGCACTAGCAGGCCGGGACATCTCTGGCAGTTCAGTGGTCTAGGCTTCACCTTCCAGGGCTCGGGATGCAGGTTCAATCGCTAGTTGGGAAGCTGAGCTCCCATGTGCCTTAGGGCCAAACGAACAAAAAATAAACAGTAGAAGTATTGTAACAAATTCAATAAAAAATTTAAAAAAAAATGGCCCACATCAAGGAAAAAAGTACCAACAGGGCTTGTAGATATGCTGGAAGACCGTGGGACCTTGCCCGTCCAACACTGGAAGAGGTGCTCTTCTGCCCATAGATGGATAAGCAAGCCTGTCCACTCCAGTGATGGATTTGTCTCCTTCATCTGCCCTTGAACTCTTTTCTCTTAGAGCCGAGGTCCCCAATCTCTGGACCACGGATTGGCAGCTCTTGTTCGGTCAGGAGTGGCAGTAGATTAAAGTGCACAATAAATGTAATGCACTTGAATCATCCCCAAACCATCGCCCTTACCCTGCCACCCCTGGTCCACAGAAAAATCATCTTCCATGAAACTGGTCCCTGGTACCAAAAAGGTTGGACACTGCTGTCTTAGATTCCCTCTAATAGCTTTGGTACTTCCACTGTGTTTTAAGCATTAACCTTGAGAAGTCAGAGGGACACAGGGCAGGGCTTGGGTGGAGGATGGCTGTCCGTATCCTTGACACGCCCTTGAGCTGTTGGATGCAGACTCCAGCCGAGACTCCTCCCTGCCCCCCACGCCTCCTCGTGCGTGGCCGCTCACCTGGAGTGACAGTGGTCTTGGGGGAGCAGGGCCAGCTCCAGGCCTGACCCACCAGGAAGTCATCGGTCTCGTAGGCCTTAGCGGGAACAGGAAGTACTGGCCATTTGGGGACCAGGACATGGGTCACCCTGGAGCTATTCCAGGCTGGTTCTTGATACTCACTGGGCCCTTCTATTCATTTAGTGGACTCTCTGGCCCAACACGCATCTCTCTGGTTGCTCTTTTAGACGTGGATCCAGTATGAGTGAGCACATGCCGTGTACAGGGCTTTATGTAAGCATTGAGGGGATGTAAAAAGGCTAAGACATTTGTCCTTCCTTCGAAGCGACTTAGCAGCAGCAGCAGCAGGGAACTCACAGCTTGGTCTTTAGAGTTATTTGCATGTGAGAAGATAATTGTTGTTCAGTTGCTCAGTCGTGTCCAACTCTTTTGCAACTCCCTGGACTGTAACCCACAAGGCTCCTCTGTCCATGGGATTTCCCAGGCTAGAATACTGGAGTGGATGGCCATTGTCCTTCTCCAGGGGATCTTCCCGACACAGGGATCGAACCTGGGTCTCCTGCATTGGCGGGCAGATTCTTTACCATGGAACCACCAGGGAGGCCCATAATTAGAATGACCTGGTAGGTAATTTTAAAAATGAGTGACTTTAGTGTTTCGTTGGCAAATGCCAGTTTCTCTAGGCACTGACTTTCCATGCAGGAAATCCTAATGGTAGGGTCTGGAAATGGCCCCAGTCTGTGACTCCTTATTGAGGTTTGGAGATACAATGAACTAGTGCAAGCCCACCATAGAGTGAGTGAGGTAGTGAGCCTCAGGAGGGCCCCCAGATGAACTGTCCAGCCAGCTCCTAGTGAATGGAGTTTAAATCAAGGTGATGCATTTTTCTGATTATTCACTTCTCAACGTGTCTCTTTTATTTGACTTTATTTTTCAGAAGTTTGCACGACAGCAGAGTATATTTCCAGACTTTTCTAAACCTGCCCTGGTACATGCTTTCCTCCCAGTCGCCTCCCCAAATAAGCATCTGGAACCAGTGACTCTTCACAAGACAGAACTGGTGTGAGCAGGGTTTCTGCACCTTTTTTCAGAGGTTGAAGGCTCCGTGGTGTGCGTGCACATCACCCTGGACAGGAGAAGCATGAGCCCCACGTGAAGACAACATCCTTTCTGTGAAGCCCTTCGCTTGACTGAAGCATCCCAAAGTGGATCCCACCCCACTGTCTGTGAGCAGGGCTTTGAAATTTATGATGTGACCACCACGCATGGAGCCACCTGCAGGGTGCTTTCCAGTGTTGCTGCTTCACGACCTTCTTAGCGTTTTACTCAGCTATCTGGTCAACCTCTCGGACGGGGTTTTGTTTTTTTTTTTTTCAGTCCTAGAGAAGCTGTGGTGAGATGCAGTTGGAAAAGGACCTTGGGAAATACGAGTGCCTGGAGCTAGTCCTGTGTAGACTCTTGAGGACAGCTGTCCTCTTCCACATCTGGAGCACATCTCTGAATGTGCTGTTTTCTTGTCTGAGCCCAGATGTTTTATATCTGGGTGAAATTGACAGGCCAAGCTGTGAGACAGGGGGAAATATTTAGCAGCTAATTTCCCACCGTGAAGGCCCTTCTATTACCAGGGGGTAGGATGTGTACATAGAAATAGCAGGTCGGTGAACTGCCCCCAACTGGGCCTTTTTAATCTAGGAAAGACATCCATAAAGAGGCAAGAGCGAAGAGTGCCACGTTTATTTTTATTAACTCATCTGTGTATTCTTGTCAAAAAAGGGATTTGTGGTTTTCCTCCTTTTGAAATCCGTATCTTCAGTTCAATGTCGTTGTAACTGACAAGCAGCGTGCTTATGGAGGGTGAGAAGAAATCAGAGATGGTGAGAGTAGGAGAGAGCACCATGGAGGCACCTGGTAGAAAATGCTGGACCAATCATGCAACCTGGGTGCTGGCGCCAGTTGTCCCCCTGTCTAGCTGTCTGATCCTGGACAAGATCCCCATGGTTTCTGCTTTTTCTGTTGTAAACCAAAAGGTGGTCATATGTGTTGATTGAAAAAAAATGTATGTGAAAATGCTTTGAAAGAGTATAAAGCACTATCCAGATTCCAGACTTCTTTTGGTCATTTTCCTTATTACTCCAGGGGTGTTCTGGGCATGAGAAAATACTTTTCATTTTTCATGTTTTCCATCGTCCCAAAGAAGGCAACAAGGAACACTTTCCCACCATGTTATGTATGAATTCCTTTGGGGAAGTGAGGCCGGTTGAGTGGTCTGTTCTTGAAGCAGCAGCCAAAAGTTAACTCCAAGATGTGGACATTCGGGAGTCAGCCGGCCACGGGGAGAAGGGATTTCTCAAATGATCCATTGATGTTCTGGTGATTGTTGGGTTTCTCTTATCAAACTTGGCCCTGCCCCCACTTACTTTCCAAAGAGAATATTGCCCAAGCTATTATTAGAAAGTTAAAAGAATGCCAAGTTTACTGTTTTTGCCTCTTTGTCATAGTTTTCATGTTATTAAATGTATGCATGTGAGGGAAGAAAGAAATCTTCCTTTCTCTTTTATATTTGAAATTACTCATAAGATTTTGGGATGAGTGCTGGGAGGCCTGGAAACTAGTTTGAGAACCAGAACCCAAGGTGAAATTCTGGAGATGAAAGCTTGGCTGAGAACTTCCTCTGAGTGGGGGGTGGGGTGGGCTTTATGGCAGGTAGACCTCTTTGAAGCAGCAGCCCCTTCTTCCCAGAGATGCTCCTGAACCCACCGCTGAGTGGCCTCCCCACCAGCCAGTACAGGATCAGCTGGACCACATCCATGACCGCAGGTGGGAAGGATGGGAAGGAGAAGGGTTTCTCCTTCAGAAGGATGTGTAAAGTCAGGGGCTAAGTACCTGTGACTCACGGAGTTTGACTCAAAATTCTCAAATCGTCCCATTACCCCCCAAATGGCAAGAACAATCTAGTGCAAGTGGTGGTAAAAGTTATAGAAGCGTCGTAGGTGAAACAACTTCGGAAAATGGCTCTTTGTGAAATGAATGCCCATAAAATGCTTGTGAAAGCTATAGATTCCCTCTCAGTGAAATCAATTCCATCCTCAAATGCTTGACCAGAACTGCTGGTGCGACCACTGGTGTAATGAAGAGCTCAGCGTTTTTATCTGGTTTGACGCCCAGCTTCACCACTCAGAAGTTTTGCCACCTTGGGCAGCGGATTCACCTCTCTGAGCCGCAGCTGGCAGTTCTTTAGAATACGAATTAAAAAGAGAATGTGCATATTGTGCTTGTGTGAGGATTAAATGAGATAACATATCTAACACCCTAGCCTAGTATCTGGCAAATAGTACCATTAGAACAAGATTAACATTAGAACAAGAAAGGAGAAAAAAGCAGTGGAGAAAGTCATGAGAACAGTGAATATTTGACAAAGCACTTTTATTAAAAAGAACAGAATTGGGGCTTCCCTTGTGGCTCAGAGGTAAAGAATATACCCGCCAATGTGGGAGACACAGGTTCGATCCCTGATCCAGGAAGATCCTGTGTGCCGTGGAGCAGCTAAGCCTGTGCGCCACAGCTATGGAGCCTCTGTGCCGGAGCCCAGAAGTCGCAACTACTGAGCCCACACGCCGCGACTGCTGACACGAGCATGCCCTGGAGCCTCTGCTCCACAGCAAGAGAAGCCACTGCAAAGACGGGGCACTGCAGCTAGAGAGAAGCTCCCCCTCGCTGCAACTCGAGTGAAGCCCCAGCAGCAACGAAGACCCAGCAGAGGCAAAAATAAATGAATCAAATCTTAAAAGAAGAACAGAATTCACTTGGTGGGGGAGTCATGATGCTTTCAAAGGATTAATACAAGATGAAATTAGATGCTTCATGATCATTAGATATGGGTAGGAGAGAGAGAGAGAAGGATCAGGGTGGGTAGGGTGGAATTTAGCAAAGAGAGTGAGCTGGTTTTGCATGGACATGATTGGAGCCTCTCAAGGTATTTCAGAGGAGGTAGATGATCCTGGACCATATTTACTCTTCATCTCTACTGCCAGGGAGAGCTTTGTTTTCAGAGCCCTGCTTGCCTATGGAATTCGATCTATGGGTATAATCATTTCACCTCGGGAGGTCCCAAGACACAAACACAGACATGAATATTAGCTCCACATTCTCCCAAAAGAAGGCCTGTGGGTTTTGCTTTCATAATAATTCTTAGCAGATTTCACTGTAGAAATACTGTGCTGCACTCACAGAGCCCAACAGAGCCTGAGAAATTGCTAGGGTTGCCCCAGGAGAGATCACAAGGCAGCCTGTGGACACAGAGAGTCCCCGAGGCTCACGTGTTCAACCCCACAGTACGGTTAAGAGTGGGGGTCTCAGAATAATTCAGTCTGGTTCCCAGACTCTTTCCTCACTGGCAACTTTACTTGACTGCATTACTTGGATTATTGTTTAACACTCCATCTTCCCTACGTAAAACAGTCAAAGGCCTAAAAATCTTAGGGGAGGTGCTGTTTGGGCTTCCCAGATGGTTCAGCAGTAAAGAACTGGCCTGCAGTCGGGGGACTCAGGAGACATGGGTTGGGAAGATCCATTCCCATTGCCTGGGTTGGGAAGATCCCCTGGAGGAGGGCATGGCAGCCCACTCCAGTATTCCTGCCTGGAAAATCCCATGGACAGAGGAAACTAGTGAGCTACAGTCCATGGGGTTGCAAAGAGTCAGACACAACTGAGCATGCACATATGCACGCATGGGTGCTGTTTGGTGAATTCAACAGCAGTTGTCTTTCGTAGTTTTTCAACTGATGGTTTGCGAGCCAGATTTGTCCTAACTGGTTCCTAAGATACAATCAATCAGTTCTTTGGTCAGACACTGTGTTAATTCTATTTATTATCTTTCCAAGGCCAGATGTGTTTTTTTAATTTTCACCTTTAAATTGCATAAGACATTAAAATTCTACCCTGTGCCTTTTTGTAGTGTCTCTGTGTGCTGAATGGGCGAAATTAAGCAAAAGCATCTTTGTTGAGCATGTACCCTGGCACTCTGTGTAATACTCAGAAAAAGCAAGGTTAGAGGCCTTTCTTTTAAGAATTTTATAATCTAGTAGAAGGTGAAATGAACTCAGAGCTATATGCAGAGCTACTTGTTTTACTTAGCATTAGGGAATTATACAGAGAAAAGTGGGGACACAGAAAAGAACTGATAGTGTCCAATTCCTTCTAGGGGCACCTTAAAAAGAGTTGTAGAACTAATTGTATTTGCTCTTGGACTTGAAAGATAAGCAGGATTTTAAGTGGTAGTAACCGTCAGGGGTTGTGGAAATGGCAGGGGCACAATCTCTAAGGTAAGAAGGTAGAGAACACACTTGAGCAGAGGGTTATATGAGGGTTTTTGTAGGCATGGTTCATCCACAATCTAGTATAAGTAGGAAGGAGGTAATCATGAAAGATGGGCAAGTTGTCATAGAGGATTTGCACAGTGGGGCAGTATGGAATGGTTCTGAGTTGAGGAGCCATAGATTCATTTCTAGGACAGTAGTCAGGAAAACAAGGTGAAGGGTGAAATGAAAGAACTACAGGAGATGGGAAGGGGAAGACCATCCAGGAGGTTGATGGAAGTCCAAAGAAGCAGAGCATCAATGGAAGAGAAGAGAGGAGGATGGAAACAAGCTGTTTTCTACACAGTATAATCTCAAGTTTCAGTCTTGTTTTAACAATTCTAGCTAATATCTCTCTCTAACCCATCTATCTATCTTCTATCTGATTTTTTTTTTGCTTAGTTCTCCTTTCCTCTTTTTATATTTTTAACTCATTTTTGTTGACGTGTAGATGCTTTACAAGGTTGTGTTAGTTTCTATTGCACAGCAAAGTGAATCAGATATACATACACATGCATCCCCTCCTTTTTGGATTTCTTTCCCATCTAGGTTGCCACAGAATATCAAGTAGAGTCCCTTGTGTAATACAGTAGTTTCCCATTAGTTACCTATGTCATGCACAGTATCAATATTATGTGTATGTCAATCCCTCCTTTCTTTTAAAAGAATAGAATGGAAAGAAATAAACAGCCCCTTCCATCTTGTCCTTTACATAACCTGCAGAACTTAATCACCTTAGACCACAGGTGAGGCTTCCATGTGTCCCAGCCACCTCGACAGCCAACAGGGCTCTGGTGCTCCTGCGATCGTAGACATTACCTGGTTAAAGCTGGTTTTAGCCATCCTTACTCCCAGTCCTGCCGCAAATTCCTGTCCCAGCAGAATAATCCTGCTTTCCCCCTTCCATAGTTTGACATCATATTTAATCAACGATTGGCTGACTTACATGTGTTCTTTCGGTTTTATTTTTTTTTTATGGGATATGGCAAACACTTGCTGCTTTCATTGGCCCCATGGCTTTATACGTTTGTCCTACTGATTATGTGCTACATGATGGCACCTTAGCGATTTTTTAAAAGTAAAAATCTTCCAGCAGTTGACTAACCAACCCTGCTAACCAAGCATTCAGATAAACCAAAAGATACCTTGAAGGGATCCTAGTGGATTGTGCGTGAATATTGAGGGATGAGTATGAATATGTTTTATAGAAAAGGAAAATGGTACCTTAAGACATTGTTCATTGCCCCAGAGCTTGATGAATGACACACGAGCCCCATTCTGTCTTTCAGAGACAGGCATTTCACTTGCAGACGTTATCTTTTCTCGTTACCACTTCTTCATTTCATTCTCCCCACGGGAGCTCAGGCAAGTGCACAGCTAGGCAACAAAGACAAGAAGGAAAACATCCTCTAGGCGGGGTATGTTTGTTTCCATGGTTCCCGAGAAGTTTGGGCGAAGGAAGGAAGAGAAACTTGGGCACTGAAAGCAAATCTGCTATTCTTCTCTCCTTTTGGTGTATAAACATGCACAGGATCCCTCTGGGCAAGGGAGACAGACTTCCCTGAGTGATTCATTCAGATTCTGCATGAGAAGGAAATCATTTGATTCTTCTTTATAGGAGGGGCCATTTCTTCAAAATGACCATTTCCCCCTCCCTCTGTTCCAGCAGAACCTGTTTACAATCTACTCTTGGAGATCACAGTACTCAGCAGAGATAAGTAGGGAGACATTCAGATGGTGAAAACCTGCAAGACATCCCACCGAGTTGGAATGCTTTTCTCAAAGGAAAAAAAGCCTGCAAATGCGTATGTACTGGCCTATGCACCCGAAAGGGCCAGCTGAGCAGCCCATAAACAGCTCCCATTCAGGAACAACAAAAGCCCATGCCAGAGGTCAAGGGACGGGGGCTGAGAACTAATAATAATTTTGCACTTACACAGCAGTTTTCATCCGAAGACCTCAGAGTGCTTTATAAACATTAATTAAATGGCCCGACAGCCCTGTGAGGTGGCTGTGTATCACTATTTCCAATCTGCAGGGAGTGGAGGGAGGAGAGATGTGTGCATGGAGTGAAGTTGGAACCAGGCCACGCCATGGTGCACGTGGATTGTGGACTCAGAAAAAAGTAGCGGGACTTTTTCCTCTGTGAATTTAAGGCGGTGGTCACGTGTCACAGTACCTGCTGAGCCAAGAAGGAGATGGACTGGCAACAAGGCTATCCAGGGCGACCTCTTGGCGGGGCTCCCCTCGTGAATAAGAGGGCCACCGACATGGCTTGAAGGTGCCAGTGCGATCTCACCCACAAGCTCACGGTCATTATCATAGATGCATCCCTTTAGTGGGACCCAGGAGGCCACGTTGCCTTCACCCAAGGTGCAGACTCTGATTGCTTGGAGACGTAGTCATGACAGCTGCTTGGAGAAGGGTTGTGATGGGTATGCAGCAGAAAATCTCATGATCAATTACTATTGGCCTTGCGTCTGGGAAAAGGTAGCTGTGGGTTGGATTGCATCCCCTGAAAAGATATGTTTTTTTTAAAAAAAAATTATCTTATTGAAGTATACTTGATTTACAATGCTGTGTCAATTTCTACTGTACAGAAAAGTGAGTCAGTTATATGTCCAGATATACATATACATTATTTTTCATATTATTTTCATGGCTTATCACAGGATATTGAATAGAGTTCCCTGTGCTATATAGCAGGAACTTGTTGTTTATCCATTCTCTATATAATAGTTTGCATCTGCTAATCCCAAACCCCCAAACCATCCCTTCGCTACCCCCACTTCCGCCTTGGCAACTGCAAGTCTGTTCTCTATGTCTGTGAGCCTGTTTCTGTTTTGTAATAAGTTCATTTGTGTCATATTTTAGATTCCACGTATAAGTGATATCATATGGTATTTGTCTTTCTCTGTTTGACTTACTTCACTTAGTATGACATCCATGTTGCTGCTAATGGCATAGTTTCATTCTCTCTGGAAAGATATCTTTTCCATTCTTCCTGGAAAGTCCTAACCCCAGTACCCATGCCTGTGACCTTATTCGGAATCAGGGTCTTTGTAGATGTAACAAGTGAAGATGAGGTCATGCTGGATTAGAATGGCTCTCACTCTGAAGACTGTGTCCCTGAGACAAGGGCAACCTGGATGCAGATATACAGAGAGTGCCCTGTGAAGATGGAGGCGGTAACTGGGGTGATGTATCTACAAGCCAAGGGAATGACCGGGACCACCAAAGCTAGAAGAGGCGACTACAGAGTTCTTCATAGGGTCTTGGCAGGGAGCACAGCCCCTGTTGACACCTCGATTTTGAACTTTTGGCCTCTAGAATTGTGAGAATAAATTTCTGTTGGTTTAAGACATCCGGTTTGTGGTACTTCATTACAACAGCCTTGGGAAATGAATACGATAGCCTACATTTTGGAAGTTTCCAAATGCAGATCATTAAAATGGCTGTTTATTTAAACACACATCCCACCATTGTAATAGACAAAGAAAGGTTTTCTGGAGAGATTAGGCTGTGACAATGGAGATGAGGGCAAGATGAGAACATCCTCCTGATGGTGACAGTGACATCACTGTGGTCCCCCGACGTAGTACACGCTCACGGTTCTCAGCCACTTAGATGTTTGGTGTGTCAGTCCTGTTGGAACATGTTGAATTGGAATTGTGGAAATTCATTTAATGCATCCCATGTTTTCATCCCTACAATGGCATAGCACGAAAATCAAGGAAGGCATCCAGAAGCCAGATCAAGCGCTGCTAAAGACAAAAACAATCTACAAACAAATTAAAGGAAAAAAGTAAGATACAAACACTGGGAAAATTAATCTGACATGGGTGAGATTGCAGATATTTGGGGCAAGAGATTGTTGTATTTATCTTTAGCCTTGCCCTTTGCTGCTGCTGCTACGTCGCTAAGTCGTGTCCAATTCTTTTTGATCCCACGTAGCCTGCCAGACTCCTCTGTCCATGAAATTTTCCAGGCAAGGACACTGGAAAGTGGGTTACTATTTCCTTCTTCAAGGGATCTTCCTGACCCGGGGTTGAACCTGTGTCTCCTGCTTAGCAGGTGGGTTCTTTACCACCATGTCAACTAGGAAGCCTGCTCTTTGCCAGCTCCCTTAAAAAAAAATGCAAATAGTCCTGGGAGGGGCAACACATATGAAACAATATAATAATGTCAGGCTTTGGCATCAGACAGATGTGAATCAAAATCCAGGCTCTGTCATTCACGAGCTCTACGGTAATAGGAATGTCATTTGACCTTGCGGTGCCTTAACTTACTCATCTGTTTAGTGGGTGCATGATGTTTTCATAGGTTTGCTGTGAGAATTAAATGAGTTAATAATTGTTTCAAAGCCCGCTTTATAGTATGTACAGCATTACCAGTAGCATTTGCTTCGGCTCAATAAATACTTTTCCTTCCCGTGGACAGTGGATATGGCAGAAAAGGCAAGGTGGAGAGGAGGCAGAAGACGAGGTTGCAGGCGGGGACCTAGTCGAAAGATCCTGCATAACGGGGTCTGCCACTGGACTGTGGTTTGAGGAGAAGTTACCTCCTTCTCCACATGGCCTGGGCTAGCCCAGCTCCAAGGATTCTCCTTTCCTCCTTGCCCAGGGTCCCCCAGAGCCAGGGCGGTGACAGACTGCTCACACGGGGCTGCCGTGGGCAATGCAGCTGCTTCTTCGCCTGCTTTTGCTCTCTGAGCAGAGCTGTATCCAGGGAACTGGAGATGGGGAGCCCCTGGAGGCAGCCCCAGCTCTCAGCAGAGTCCTTTTTCACAGGCTGGGAGCCAAGCAGAGCCCAGACAGGAAGCCGGAATTGCTCCTATCAGACTGGCGGAGAAGTCAGCAACCTCACTTTCTTTGACGGTGATCTTTGAGCCCCAGTTAAAGGGGTCAGCTCCTATTTACTATTTACTCAAGCAGAAACAACCTTGCCAAAATGTTTGTCATCTATCTTTTTGTTTTTACTAACGTGAGCAAGTATTGAGTATAACCTATTTCCTCAGGTTCCACGTAACCGAAGGCATGAGTGACAGCCTTGACAAAAATCTAAATATCTTTCACGTTGAGTTCCCCCACGAAATACGGCCGGTAACAAACGCAGACCCAGGCCCCGCGGGTCCTGAGTGGCGCACCACCGCCCTTGGCCACCATCATGGTTTCCCCTTGGGGCGGCCATGCCGCTCTCACTCTGCCCCCTGGTGGTCGGCATCAGCAACTGCATCGCCTGTACCCCTGGCTTTCCTCACAGGAGACTTGCTTTGTTGCCGTTCCTGCTGCCGTTGGGCTCATGAATACGGGAAAAACCACTCTTGCCAATAAAAGCTCCCCGAATAAGAAGTTAGCTACTTGAAATTTCTTTCAGTTCCTAGAATTGGGGCACTTTCTACCTCTACCCCCAGAGCTGCGTTCAAAAACATCTTGCCCCCACCATTAGCCAAAACTCCCAGCAGGGCCCTTGTTCAGTTGCTGAATCAGGTCGGACTCTCCACGACCCTGTAGGCTGCAGCACACCCAGGCTTCCCTGTCCTTCACTATCTCCCCGACTTTGCTCAAATTCATGTCCTTTGAGTCTGTGATGCCATCCGACCATCTCATCCTCTGTCCCCCCCTTCTCCTCCTGCCTTCAGTCTTTCTCGGCATCAGGGTCTTTTCCAACGAGTCAGCTCTTCAAATTAGGTGGCCAAACTGTTGGAGCTTCAACATCAGTCCTTCCAATGAATATTCAGGGTTCTTGACAAAAACCCTCTTCTTTGCTGCTGCTGCTAAGTCGCTTCAGTCGTGCCGACTCTGTGCGACCCCAGAGACGGCAGCCCACCAGGCTCCCCCGTCCCTGGGATTCTCCAGGCAAGAACACTGGAGTGGGTTGCCATTTCCTTCTCCAATGCATGAAAGTGAAAAGTGGAAGTGAAGTTGCTCAGTCGTGTCCGGCTCTTAGCCACCCCATGGACTGCAGCCCACCAGGCTCCTCCGTCCATGGGATTCTCCAGGCAAGAGTACTGGAGTGGGGTGCCATTGCCTTCTCCGCCTCTCCTTTGACCAAACTCTAATCAGCCTCCTCGAAGCCCCTGACTGGACAAGACATGACCTTGGACTTCCTTCTCCATCCTTGCAGAATCCAGTTTGAGCAAAAGTCCTTTGAAGTCAGTTTAGTGAAAACTCCCCAAAAGTGTCTGCTACTCTTGATATCACGCTGATATCAGGCTGGCCTGCCTTGGGCAAGGGTTCTGTTGAGTCAGCCTTGCAAGAAGTCCCCTACCCATGATTACTCTCCTTAGTCATTTTCCATCCACTGATCCACATCCTCCCCCTTCACTATGGATCCCCACTGTCCTTGTTAGAGTCAGAGTTTAGCCTGGTCTCTCTCCCCTACCACAATCCCCATCTTAGTAGCCTTACTATCTCTGTGCTGTGTGCATATGCGCTAAGTCACTTCAGTCGTGTTTGACTCTGTGCGACCCTATAGACTGCAGTCCACCAGTCTCCTCTGTCCATGGATTCTCCAGACAAGAATACTGGAGTGGGTTGCCACACTCTCCTCCAGGGGATCTTCCCAACCCAGGGGTCAAACCTGCATCTCTTGTGTCTCCTGCTTTGGCAGGAGGGTTCTTTACCACTAGCCCCACTTGGGAAGCTCCTTACCATCTCTAAGGAGCTTCATAATTAGTTTTTTCTTTGACACACTTGAGCTGACCCTGCAGAAGGCATGCCCCTCCCACCTGGGCATCCCAGGCTGGGGCAGGCATCTTTTCTCATCTTTGAGATGCTTAATCTCAGAAAGGGCCTGACCTGTTGAGTTTAAAGTCTCCCAATAACCTCTCTCAGGACACCCACTGAAGTTGGCAGTCATATAGCTTAGATTTGGGAGCACATTCGTAGTTTCAAATCATCTCTTTCACTGCCAGCCAATGAGTCCTGAAGCTTTGGCTTTGATAAAAAAAAAAAAAAGCCTCTGTATTTTCTACTCTGGCCCTTGGTCTCTCTCCCAATCACCCCAGTGAGGGGCAAAGTTACAGTCTTTGAGCTAGCATGGTCCGTTTCAAATGTCCAGCCGTCTCCTTCAGCCCCAGAGCCTGCATATCCTTCATGACCTCACAGAAGGGTTAGCTCAGGATCGCAGCTGACAGGCTGTGGCCGGCTAGGCTTGCTTTCTTGGTTCTGTGGGACTAGTTGGGAGCCCAGCAAAAGAAGGAGAGGGTGAGATGTGCCTTTGTCTCTCTCTCCTCCCCGCCTCCCTGCCTGGCATCATGCTGCTGGGCAGGTGATATGCTAAACTGACTACGTTTTCCTCCTGAAAGTCCAACCCCATCGTCTCCAAGGCCAAATGGTCGGTAAAGAGAGGGCCAGGCTGAGCCTCCAACATGATGACAGGAAGCGAAGGTAGCCCTGAGATTTTGGGCATAAAATTGGACCAATTAAGAGATGAGAAGGAAAGAGATGGCATGTGATGAGTCTCTGCTGGGAACAGGCACGCAGAGGAACATGGGATCTGCGCCAGGCACTTTCCACAATTAGCTCCTCCCAGGATATAGATTAGGTAACTGAACCTCAGAGAGATGAAATAATGTCCCTAGGTCCTGGAGCTCACGAGTGGAGCCAAGATTCGGACTCAGGTCTGCAGATCTGTTTGACTTGTATGCTCCAGCTCTTTCCAGGAAACCCTATTCCTCCCGGGGAGGGGGATGTGTGGGCTCCTGGGGATGGGGCGCGGTCCTCACTTCTATTCTATTGGAGAAGCCTGGCAGCCTTCGGTCAGCCCCCGTCTGCTCTTTGGATCTCGTTACCATTCCTGCGCTTTCCAATAACATGTTCATAATCATCTCTGAGGTGACAGAAACGGCCCTGGCCCACCGACATCTGGAAGGGCTCAGGGCTGCCATGACCCTTGGCACAGCCTCGGGGCTCAGCCGTCATTTGCTGTGCACCCTGGATGCCTGGGATCAGATCCACAGGCCTCATGGGGCACGAGCAAAGTAGCACCCCCTGGGAGGGTTCCCTGAGATGCAGCCACGAGCTATGGCCGATCTGTGTACAGCCCATCTGGGGAGTGGATAACCCAGCCTGACAAGTGACCTTGACCAAATTACAGCAGTAATATTTTCGGTTGGTTGCGCTAGTCTTAGCCAATTTCTCTAGAGCGTTAGGTGCAAACATAAGTCCACGGCTCCACATCGCTCACGCTGGTGTCGGCCGCCTCCCCTCCGCTGTCTCTAGTATTTATCCTGTGGCTTGTACAAGCCTCGCCTTTCTCTTCCCTGGTGAGAGCGAGAGTCTCCAGGCCACCTTTGCCTCCGCGGGATGTGCAGTGAAGCAGTGCGGATGA